ATGAATCTTTTAAGATAAATCTTTTAAGATATTTAATACTTCAAAAATATAAATTTCTTTACTTAAAATAGAAAAAACATTGTCTTATTCTCTTTTACTAAAAATCTTATACTCTAGAATTAACCTTTATTATTGAAAATTTTTTATTATTGAAAATTTTTACTAAATTTTTACTTAAATTTACTATATAGTTAGAAACATAAATATAGTTATCTAAAGTTAACTCCTAATACCAAAGATCATGTTAAATTTTAAATTTTGAGAATATAGTTCAATGAGGAAAAATAAAATTAAGTTCCTTCTCTTTTTTTTTTTTTTAATGTAGTTAAGGGTGAAAGAAAACATTAAATACATAAAAAAAAATCATACCTGTTGGAGATTCTGATTTTTGAACATAAATTTTGAAATACAGCGGGTACTAATATGAAAACTACAAGGCTAAAAATAGTAATTGCACATAATACATATAAAATTTGCTGAGAAAGAGTTAATTACAATGCATATAACAAAATGATGAAACTAACAACAGAACTAAACTAAATTCTAGAAATGAAAATAGTTTTACAAATTACAATTTTACCCTACAACAAAACAACAGAGTCTCAAAAGTATCGCACCAAAGCATCATCATAAGCATTTTGCTGCTGATATAGTCACAAAGTACAATCACATACAAACTAACAAAAAGATAACCAGCCATCATCTTTTTCTTCATCAACATCCAACTTTTGTTGCTGATATGGAGTATAAACAGGGTGAATAGAGAATTAAACTAAATGATCACCTCTTATGTATCTCACCAAAGCATCATCATAAGCATTTTGCTGCTGATATAGTCACAAAGTACAATCACATACAAACTAACAAAAAGATCAACAGTCATCATCTTCTTCTTCACCAACATCCAACTTTTGCTGCTGATATGGAGTATAAACAGGGTGAATAGGGAACTAAACTGAATGATCACCCCTCAGGTATCTCACTAAAGCATCATCATAAGCAACATCTTATTCAAACTTTTGCCGAATCAAATCATCTGTATGAGCATTTATGACATCCATGTTCTGTAATCTATGACCCATTCTCAAAATATTTCGCTATTGAATCATCATCTGGTATAATAGTTCCCTGTTACTGGGGTCACTAGAAGTAGGCTCACTAAAATAAGGGTCCTAGAAGTAGAAGGAATATCCCTGCCCTTACTTCCAGATCTCTAATCAACATGGGACTCATAAGTGTTAATGTTTGCAGACCCAATAGGTCTTTGAGGCTTAATCCTCTCCTCATCTGGTTTGAAATCAACTCCTGCCTGCTCACAAAGTGTGTAAATAAGAATAGGGTGTGCCAATCCACCAGTAGTCTATCCTAGAGCAATAGATCGAGTGTTCATATAAATAATAGAGCCTACATTTATGTCCATCACTTGCTGAATACAGAAGTTCAGGATGGCTCTATCCTTAGTCACCTTACTTTGATGGTTTATTGGAATCATTCTCCTAGATATAAAATAATGTCAGGCCTTAGAAACTACATTTAGCATAGAAAGAGGAAAGTTGACTTTAACTCCATTCTTTACTTTCCAAGCCCCTTTCTCACTAGTCAGAAAAGAAATTACCTCATATAAGGTCTCATTTGTAGCAGAAAATGAATGATACTGGCATCTATAAACATCCTCTAACTGAAACTCATTTATTTTTCTTATGGTAAACTCCACCTTTTTTCCACAAATAAAACAAAATCATCAGAAGCTTCCGAAAAGTTGACATAAAATTCCATTACTATCCCAACTATCGTATCAGCAGTAAAATAACAGAAGTTTTCCCACTGCCGAGCTATAATTAATCGTTCAAGTTCTCCTCCCAAATTTTTGAAAACACGATCCAGAATCACTTTTTTATTTTCACGAAGACTATGAAATTGAGCACTAGCTTTATAACTAACAATTTTATTGCTCTCATAATCTATTTTTCTTTTGTTCGCTTTAGGTGCCATAGGAAATCTAAAAAAAATATGATAAAAATCCGAATAAATTCCAAAATTCTAAAAATTAAAATGTAAAGCACTTTAAACTTAAATCCACTAAGTAAGAGCTCTTCACCAAAGCATTTTCTCAAAATATCTCAAAAAAATTCCAAAACTTTCGGATCTAGGCAATGTGAGAAAAATCCTTGGTAAAAATTAAAAATTTTTAGTTTAATTTTTACTTTAAAGTGTATCTCTTACCTGAGAAGATGAAATCCAAAGTTCCTTTGCCTCTAAAGCACCTCAAATCCGCCCAAAATCAAGCCCAAGGTGTGAAAACTGAAGGTTGAAGGTAACTCAAGGGGTAAAAATGGAGGTTTACAATGAAAATCATGAATTTAAGGGGTTAAGGGTTGCTCTCAGGTTGAAGGCGCCGTCGGTGCCCATTCCAGCGGCGTCAGTGCTGAAGGCCCGAAATTCAATTTTTGAATTTTTTTTCAAAATTTCAATTTTCTTTCAATTTACTCCATAGTTTTTTTAGTATTTTTAAACACACATTTTTATTTAACAATAATTCATAAATAAACATTTCACAAACAATCATTTTCACAAACAACAACAAACTAACTTTTATATATGAAAATACACTTTTTACAAATATATTTTTAAAATTAAACATTCACACCTATTAAGCAATCTAAGTATAAATCAGCGTCGAAGTGAAGTCATCACACTAAACACTGACACAAAACTATACACATAATAAAAGTTCAGAATTCTAAAGCAAAACAAACCAAACCAAATCCAATCCACACAATAAATAAATACATAAATATTCTTAAACAAATAGAGAATCCAAAGTCTTCAATTATTTTGCCTCTTTTTCAGTGCTTTCTCCTCCTCTAATATCTCCCATGGATTAATAATGAATATATATGTTGTAGAAGGATCGGTACGGGAATTGATCTGTCAAATTTTCTTCGATCCACCCATTTTTCTTAAACATCCAAACTAATCCTGCTTCAAAACTTCCAGTATGATCAAAATTTTCTTTTATTATCCAATCTAGGTGATTAAAAAGGTACTTAAGATCTCCCACTGCATTCATAATACTCTGAAGTTCCCTTTCAATTTTCTTCAATTTCTTCTCCAAAGCAAGCAAACTTCCAACTGTTGGTGGTATTAATGGAGTTGAAGCATGTGAAGAATGATC